TAAGGGAAGACAAAAAAATGTTAGTCTAATGAAAGGGTCCAAACAACTTGTATAAGTAGATTTTTTAGGACTCCTTCTCTTTTAATAGTATTGAATAGATTTTGACCCGCGCTTCGAAAACGCGGGTTTTTGTTAGATTATAATTTTTTTTTATATGAATTAGTATTTTATAATTGATGTACATTATTATGCTACAAATCTTATTATATTAAAATATATTTTTTGAAAAATTATGTAATTTATAAATTAGTTTATTTGAGATTTTATATGTAAGTTTTTAATGTAACTCTCTCTAGGTCTTGACATTTTTATCCGAACTGAAAAACACGACCAAACCGACCCGAAAATATAGGTTCATTTAGGATCCAAGATAAAGTACTTACTGGCTATCTTTAAAGACCCGCAGGAATCGATTCTAGTATGGATCATAACCGAGACCCGATCGGGTACATAAAAGTACTCAATATATTTTTTTATATTAGATATGTTTGGATATTTCATATATGTTTTTTTGGTATTATGTATATTATTTTATGTTTCATATATATTATATATATATATATATATATATATATATATATATTTTTTGGATATTCAAATCAAATTTTTGGGTATATTTTGTTTTTCGAGTCAGAATAGGTAAAATTCAAGGTTTCAGATATTTGAATATATTTTGAGTGTTTATTTGTGGTTTGAAGTATTTTTCAAATATTTTTAAAATATTTTCGGGTTTATTGGTACTTTTGAGTCCTAATATTCAAGCCTACCCGCTACATATTTGGAAATTAAAAATTACCACACTGGAAATACATAGAAATTAGATTATTCATGAAAATATTGAAAGTATAAGTTACGATCTTTCATGAGTCTAGATATCTTTTTAAACAAAATTAATATTTTAAAATAGTTTATCTAGAATAATAAATTATTAATTTTATAATTATTTGTCTAAATATCTCCAAACATTAAAATACTATGATAATAAATCGGTTTTTGTATTATTACCATATACTATGTTATAGATAGGTTTACTCTAAAAAAATATTATATTTGGTTTTAAACATATTTATCGTGAATGGAGATGTTCAATATATTTTTTACTCTCCATTTATCAAACATCAGCTATGAAAATTAATCAATGGAAAGGATAGAGGGTATTGTTGCATAGTTGGTGGCTCAAGCAAATGATATAGTTTTTGTATAGTGGATGAAATAAGTCACGTATTATGAAATTATATGGTATAAGGTTATAGAAATGTATTGTAGAGAAATAAGAATATTGACTGATAAGAGTAATGTATAATAAATAAGAATATTGACTAATTTATTGTTAGAGAAATATAAGGTAAGTTATATGATATAATATTATTGTACAATATTGTTAGAGAAATATAAGGGAAGATAAAAAAATGTTAATCTAATGAAAGGGTCCAAACAACTTTTTTAAGTAGATTTATTTAAACTCCTTCTTTTTTAATAGTATAGATTAAGAAAAAAAAATTTGTAAGGAAAAATTAATTTTAATAGTTAACTAATACAGTAACAAATCATTTTTTTTTCGTCCATATCTTGCTATTGTGCTTACTAATAACACAATATAAAGTCTTATTAGTTATGCCACGTTGTTTAATTAAATTGACCAATTAAAAACTTCTATTTTGCCACATCATTTTTGTTAATCGAGATAGATTGGCGCATTTTTAACGAGCCTGAGCTCAAGTATTTTCAACAATTTGCAACGAATTGAAAATGTGTATACCATTTCTATTTTGAGATGTTGGTTTTATCTAACTCGCACTCCCGTAACTTTGAACTTAAAATCCAATTGTTTGAGATTACCGGTTTAGATCATTTTTAACCAAGACACCAAAACAACATAGTTGATGTAATTTTATCTTTAGAAGCATAACAAAGTGACATTATTTCACAAAATTTGATATAGCGCGAACAATTTTATACCAATTTGGTTTTTTCCAATTATTTTTTTCTTTGAACTCAAAAATCTAATTGTTTGGTATTACTGGTTTAGATCATTTTTAACCATGACACCAGAACAACATAGTAGATATAATTTTATCTCTAGAAGCATAACAAAATGACATTATTTCACAAAAAATGGTATAGTGTGAACAATGTTATACCAATTTTGTGTAATATTACTTATCATATCAAATATTAAAATAATGTATTTTATTACGTTTTATTTAGTTAAAGATAAATTAGTTTTATTAATTAGTTTTAACTTATAGTTATACCATATGTTTTATTTGTATTTTTACATTACTAAAACATTAAAATTTTATTGTGCTTATATTTTTAATTAATCATATAACTAAATAAGTATTACCAGTAACATTAAACTGTAACATAATAGAAATATTTTTCCTTTTAAAATGTAAAATTTTTTAAAATTGAATAAATATTAAAAATAAATAAATATATATAAATTTAATAAAAAATCATATTTATATATATATATATATATATAAATAAACATAAAACACCAAATTTTAATAATTAAATATAAAAAATCAGTTAAAAATAATTAATGTAAAAAATTACCAAAATTAAACAGTTATTAAATATAAAAAATGTTTTGGTGTAAAGTTTAGTGTAATGGCTGGAGATGAAAAATAAAGTTTAACACCAAATTTCATGTCAAGGTGGGAAATACTCCCAGTAATGTTGTGTTATCTTATTTTTATGGATTATGGCACTTTTTATTTTTGCCTTCTGCAAAATAGTTTTGTTTAGTTAGAAAGAGATTTTGATTGAAAATTTGTATTACTGAAGACACCATTAAGTTTATATTTTACATTTAGCATCTAGACAAAAAAAAAATAAGTTTTATCATTTTCAATAACCTTTCACACTAAATTATATGTTTAAAGATATGGTCTCTAATCAACTATAAAATATTATAATAACACTGCTTTCACAATTACATACAGAGAGATACTCTTAGAAACAAAAATAAAATGATGACTGCACATTTCTAAAACAAAATTTGGAGGTACAATATTATTTATATGTCATATTAATTCAACATAACTTAATAGATAATTTCATATAATTAATAATATATTAATTGTGTGAACAACTTCTAGAATATTTTTTAAAACATTCTAAGAGAAACGTAGCAAACGATAATAAATAAAATAAAAGCAATATAAACAGAATAAAAAATATGTTCATGAAATATAATATTATATTTTTACGATAATTTATGTTATTTATTATCAAATTTTGTTTACTTAAATAAATATTGCACTATCAAACATATTCAAAAAGGATTCAGTTTTAAACCAACATTCAATAATATTTTAAATTCATGATTTAAGTTTACAATAGTGTTAATAATTTTTTTTCTTATACACTTATTTTATAATACAATTTCGATACTTACTCAAACAACACAATAATTCCACATTTACTATTCAACTATTTAAAAAAATATTATGTCAAATGCAATAATTCATAAACATATAAAATTGATAATTTTCAAAACATGTTATCCGCGCGTAGCGCGGAAATACGATCTAGTAAAAAGATAATATAAGCAATGGACGATTGTCCACATAGGCCAAAATAATCAGCCAATACAAAATCAGTATTTCGCCATGTCAAAGTCAAGAAATTGGGTATTTCCGGACTCTCTTTATTTGTATTTGTTTTGTTCGAAACAAATTTAGGCCCAGCTCATTGCCCATATGGAGTTCGGGATCGACATGAACCAAACCCGAAACCCTATCACATGTTATCTCTCTTGCGAATGCCTCTCTGCTTCTTCGTTTTTTCATCTTCTCAATCGAAATCGACCCACTGACACCACTCCGTCTCTCTATCTCTGTACAATGACTCCAACATTTATTGGTTCGTTTCCCCTTCTTCCCATCTTTTTATATCTGATTTTCTCAGAATTTTCTACACTCTCAAACTCAAAATTCTGATGAATTTCAACAGAAAAACCACCGTCTCCGGCGATCTTAACTCCAAGCAACCAAACGGAAACGACGGAGCCGTGGCGATCAAACATGGTGGTAAATCCGGTGCTTCTTCCGCCGAGCCGATGAAACGTACCGGTGAGTCCAGTGGCTCTTCCGCCGTATCGATCAAACGTTCCTCCGCAATGGCTATGAAAATCTGTTCAAATCTCAGTCAAATTGGGCATCCCTACATTACTAATAAATAGTTATGCTTTTCTGGTGATTTCAGGCAGTAACTAGGAAGCTCTCAGGAGACGGTGAAACCAGTTCCACTATCCACATATCAGATTTCTCATAGGTTTGCTCTAAGATTGATTTTTTCATCGAATTAACAAGATATCGTTGATCACTGAGATCAGTGCTTTTGCTGACTTTCTTACACTGTCTCTTTTATCTTCTGAAGACTGTAAAACCAATTCTATGGTAATATAGCCTCCTCTTCTTTTGTTCAATTTTTTTGTGAAAATTAAAAAAATAAACATTTGAGTAAATATAATCAATGGGTACAATCATGTTTCTGATTTTTTAGCAGTAGTTATCGGACCTGTAAACAACAGTGATTTGCTATAAAAGGTGAGTGTTTTCATTCAAAAATAAAAATAAAAGGTGTGTTGCTTATTGTAATGTTTCCTGTGGATTTATATTTATTGAGACAACGTTTTTTTTATCAGTTGATCTGATTTGCTTTAATATTGTTCTGCCTATACTGTGATAGTTAAAGATTCTTTCTATGTGGGAGAGTAGGCCAGGTGAAGAGCTATTGAACTGCCAAAGCAACATAAAAAGTGTAGTATTCACTACACCAAAGGTACAATGCCTTAAATTGCGTTTTTCGATTTTCTATTCATATATTTCTTTTCTTATGGAACTCTTTCATTTCATCTCCGTATTTGGTGAATGATATGGTCCAAACTCATTTACCTGTCAATTAATTTTCACAGGAAACAGAACTTTGCGAGATTGATGTTCCGTTGAAATTTACAGCGTTCATGTATACCAGAGTGCATTTGTTCAATGTTCTTTTTAATGGAAGGTATCAAGCCGTCACAGATTTATATGATTTGTCTTCCATTTACAATTAATATACATTTGCTGTCAAACAAAGAAATACAAATGCTAACATGTTATGCTTTCTATATTCAACATCACAGCACAAAGATGGTCCACGACTGCTACTGGTCACCAACAAGGCAACAACCCTTGGGTACTAAATAAGATGTATTCTCTCCAGCCTATTCATGTCATGCCAGGGCAAGAAATCAGTGGTAAACTTCATTTGGTTGTCAAAAGGTACTTAGAGTTACACCATAAATCTAACTCTTACGTCAATTTTTCATCTCTCTTTTAAATCAAATCATTTTTTGCTTTGTTTCAAATTGGCTTTATAAACATGAAAAGTGTGTGGCCCTGTGCTGATCAAGGTGGAATCCTTCACACATCATCGTACAAACTCAACTTGAAGGAACCTTATTATAGAATGTCTCAGCCATCATGCACAAGAACCACCAGCACAACCGCAAGTAAGGTTGGTTACTTTTTTGTTTAGACAAGTAGGCTATGATCACTGTTGTGTAATCATTTGGAGCTTTATCCTCTCTATGAGTGAAATACTATTGAAATAATATGTCATCAATGCAGAAGCAGAAGTAGATCTCAGCATTACAACATGTGTTTACATTTCTTGGTGTAGGACATATATATACTGAGAGATGACTTGGAAGAAGTAGAGTTGATTACCTATTTTTTTCCATCCAGTTGATTATCTATCTTAGCATTTATTTCTCCATTATAAATTTATCACTTTTAAATTTGGTATTGGAAATAAAAATTGGGAGAGTTTAAGTTAGCGTCTACGCTCGATCACATTGGTAATGTGGCTCAGATTTCTCCTCTTATTGGCTTTGTACATAAGCATGTTGTGATTGTTGATACTGAGCCCAAGCTAGAGATCAAATCAGAATTTTCGGTAATGTCTTTGGAGAAATGTATTAAATAGCTCGAGGAAGAAAGATCAACAGAAGAGACTTATCATCATCATCAGCGGAAGTGTAAACTCTGAAAGATACAATGCATCTTGCGAGAGGCAAGAGATGAGACAATTTAAATATGGGGTTGAATTAGCAGAGGCAAGCTATTGTATATATATTATTTAGTTTTCTTATTATTTGTGTATACTGGATTTCATTTATTTCTCCAAATTCAATCTTTGTATTTTTTTGTTCTAAATAAATTAAACTATTGATTGATTTTTTATTTGCATTTAGTTTGGTAATTATCTTAGATTTGGAAATATTTTACTATAATTAAGTATAACTTAAAATATAATCTTTTGAGAAACAAATAAAAAATGAAAGTATTGATTCAAAATTATGAATGATTCTATTTAAAACACATTTTATTATTTTTATCCAAATACATTTATAGTAAAAATAATTTTTTAGTTCCCCTTTCTAAATATGTCTTCTTTCTTAAAGTCAATTTTAAAAGAAATATTATGTAATATTTAAAATAGTTATTTTGTGAATTATTTTTATAAAAATCATGTTATATAAGTAGTATACTAAGCTATTTAAATATTTTTATTTACGTAGTTGGATAAAAGTCATAAAGAAAACGTATATACAAAATGAAAAATTAAAAATAAATATTTTTCAAATACATATAAACATTTTTATTATAGTAATTGATTAGAAATATTTTAGGTTACTAAAGATATCATATGTTATTTAAATTACTTTTTGTAAGATTCTGAAAACAAAATCCTGATATAAAAGATAGTAAAGGTTTAAAATTATTTTTTAAGAAATTATTTTTTAATATCAAGATTAAATTTTTGTGAACTTTCCTTTTTATCCAATCCATTATATAAAATATGTTGTGATGCTCATATATTTATAAATCCTATTTTCATGGAATCTATTTTCTTTTCTTATAAAAATATTTTTTCAGTTTTATATTTTTTAAATATTTCCTTTTATTATATAGGTTATTTTGTGAAAGATATAAAAAGAAAACTAAAATAAAAAGTAAAATAATTTTTATAATATTGAACTTTAGCTATAATAGTTTTATCCACATGATTCTCAAATAATATCATATAGATTAAGAAATGTAAATAATAAAAATTTCAGAAAAGTTTGATATATTCAACTCATGCAGTATTTCAGATCAGCGCCTTTATCTTTCTATAGTGTGTTAATTTTTCAACATATATTTATGTTTCATAAATTGGATATCTATTTTATGATATCTAAATATGTGGTATAGAGATAAAAACTGAACCAAATAAAATAGAAATTTACTGAAAAATAGCTCACAAAATAGAAATTATAACGAATAAATACAATCAAACAAAACACTCACATAATAATTAAATAGAAAAGTTAACAACATCAAAATGGACAAACCGCGTGTAGCACGGTATAAAATCTAGTTTATCTAATAAATACATTGATCTACCTATTATTTCACGTATTATATATCTTACTATATATTACTCTAACCATAATCTATTTCTCTTTAGTCCATATAATGTCGCATAACTTTTTGTATATATACTTAATATCCATACGTATTTAATATACAGACCTATCAAACTATATGTAAAATAAAACTTTTTTTATAGACAGACCTATATAAAATCACACGTGTTTCAATATGCTTTCATAACATGTCAAGTTAAAAACAGACATGTATATATGTTATTGACATTGATCATGACAATATTATTGAGCTAGAACATTATAATATTGACCAATAATATTGTCCTAAATAAACCACCTTATTCATCTCAGAATTTATACACCTTATTTGTACCATCTTATTCATCTAAAAATCTAATATTCAAGCTATTTCTACCACCTTCGTGAAGCTTTCTATCATAACATTATAACATATTAGTTGCACTATTATATATTCTAGCCCCCAATCTCCATCGATATATGTTTTAATGAAGCTAAATCATCATGCTCGAGATATTACCTCCGTCAATAAATCATCTCAAAAACAAAGCAAACTGAAACAAACCATTTTAATTTATTCTTGGTATGATTCAAACAATCTTATAGCGTTGGTAATACTAAAAATTTGAAACTCAAGCCTGATATTTCCTAAATCATTATTAAATATCTTTAAAAATCAATTTAAATGTATTGGCCAGATCTTTTAGTTACCAATATATTTAAGATACGAAAGTTAATAACAAAATCATGAAATTTTGATATTTCTTTATCTACAAGTTTTATTTAATATCACAATTAGATAATAATTTTCTTATACCTACAAAGTTTTTGCTAACCTACTTTAACTGGATTAACATTAACTCTTATAAATTAATAACATATAAATTAATTTCAATATACTCGCAAAAGCATATTCTGACCTACTTTTGCGTGATATAAATCCTCTGTACCACCTACTTATTTTAAATATACCATCATTTAACCATGATATTCATCAAACCTAGGGATACATAAAAAAAGTCAAACAATCTGCAGCTAACTTTCTTGAACGATATCATTCATACTTAGAGACATTTCATGAAATACGTTGGAGAAGTGATGGAGCTAATCCTATGTGATGCAAATGTAAGTTCAATGTTGTATATAGTTTTGTGATTTATATATATACTAGGATAAGACCCGCGCCTTGTGGGGGATGAAGCTATTATTTTTATTATGTTTTGAAAACTGAAACAATAGTTCGGTTTCATTCGGACTACAGGTGTTCAATCTGGATATCGGGTTTCGGTTCGGCTCGATTTTTTGGTATTTCGATTATTAAAATATAACTACTATTTTAAATCTATATGTACTTCAGTTTGATTTGGTTTATATACCATTGGTTTTCAGTTTATTCAATTTTATACCAAAAAACATAATTATTTAGTTTGAGATCATATTATATATTCTACAAATATATAATATGATCATATTCAGAGTCATATTGTCACAGAGTCATTTATTAAAAAAATATTATATATTTAAATAAAAGAATAAAAAACAAAAAAGGCTTCTATCATCTAATAAAATGATCAAATCTAGAATTTATATCAAAACACTAAATTTTGAAAATAAAAATAAAAAAACAAAACAGAAGCATGAAAGAAAAGTTTTTATATTCTTCCATATTTAGTGTTCATCAAACCAATACGTCTTCGACTGAACACAACTCTGTTTGTTTAAAGATAAAAAAAGTTGTAAAGAATTTCAACTAATTGTAGTCCATCAAATTTATAATCTTTACTTCAATTTAGTTACTGTTAAAAAACAAAAGATCAAAATAAGAAGTCTCAGTTGTAACAAATTGTTAGCTATTTACAAATAATATTTATAGTTCAACTCATGTAACAAATAGATATTCATGCGTCGTTATAAATATATACATATTTACATGTTTCAGTTTAATCGGTTGTAAATCAAACCATATCCAAATCCTATGGTTTTTATAAAATCACATCCATTCGGTTTGTATGGTATATACCAAAAATAATAATATTATCGATTGTTAATATCTTTTAAAAATATAAAATTAAAAAAGAACTAAGATATTTAAATCATTTTTCACAAAACTTTTCAATGTGAAAAATTTAATAAGTTTATAATTTATAAATGTTCTTGAAAATTTATTGAAATTTTGAAATTAAAATATTTAAGTAATCTTATATGGTATATAGTTTAATCTGTATATATATTTGTTTTATTTTTGAATGATACTTTTTACTTATATGGTTTTAAAATCATGTATATCTTTTTATAATAAAAATGTTAAACTATTGATTATTAATTTTTAACATAATAATTTTAATAGTTTAGTTATTTATTCTCGTTTTTTTAAATTCAAAATATAACCTATAAGAAAAAAATCTGAAGTTTAGTTTTATTGCTAATTTGATTGTTTAATTTATGTTAATAATATAAAATTAAAGAAAAATGATGGAGGACATATAAATTGTTATCAAATATTTATTGTTCGAATCATTAAGTGTCATATATATATATATTAGTTATTTATGTTAATTCTGTAGGTTTTATTTATGGAAAGAAAATAAAATAGTAATTATATCTATGGGAACAATCATAAATGCTTCTATCATAAATATCATATCATATAATTTGACCAACGATTGTATCTAGGGAAATATAAAATCGAATATGGACCTACTTATTTTTCAGTTGAATGTAATTGACTACCTAATTGAGTGACACCTAAGCATGGAGGCTTTTTTAATTATTACAAAATTGAGATTATATTTTTTAAATGTTTCTCCTTTAATATATAAGAGATATATTTTTAAGATATAAGGTAATTGTTGGATCCAATTTCAGTATCTAATTAAGTAGGCCCAAGCCCATGCAAAATCATCATCAGCTCGACGCCGATCGAATACGACGAGCTCGAAGTAGTATCCCGAAGATCGCAGAAACTGTTGGGATAGAAGAAGACTATAAAAGAAGAGCTAGAGCAGAGCGTAGAGACACACCAGAAACCCTAGTTATTAAGTTCGCATTTAAGTTTCATCTTTATTTGTTGTTCTCGATCTTGTAT